AGAGAGCAACAAGTGTTGGAGGGGATGTGGCAAGACAGGAACTCTCCTCCACTGCTGGTGGTCATGCAGATACTTCCAGCCTCTGTGGAAAGAGATTTGGCGATATTGAAAGCAAATGGAAATTGAGTTACCATATGACCCAGCATATACCCATAGGAGGTAAGAAATAGACTATGACCAGTCATCTGTGCTCCAATGTTTATAGTGAAACAATTCATAATTGCAAAGAATAGGTAACAACCTAAATTCCCATCAATAGATGAGTGGATTAGAGGACTAACATATACACACAGGGTCTTATTTTGGGGGATACACAGTATCTGTCCTGAATTCCATGGGTCAAAAACTCTTATCTGTATCAATGTGTGTACTCTGGTCTAGCCGGATGTGTATGGTAGAACTGGGTCTTGGTAGTGGGGGCAGGAAGCATTCAGGAGCTAGAGCGGAGGAGTGTTTTGAATGACAGCATGATTATCAGGGGGGGAAATGAAAAGGAAAAATTATTTTCTCAACAACAAAAAAGACAGTGAAGACGCAGAGGAGGCTAGGGATGGGAGGCAGGGCTAAGGAGAGGAGAGGGATGAGAAATGGTGGAGGGAGGGATGAAGAATGGGAGGGGGAAAATAGATGGAGAAACATTGATGGGGGGTTTACTGGTATGATAGGTAGATTTATTGTGTCAACCTGGCCAATAGACACTTGAGGGATTAATAAGGTTGCAATTTAATTGAAGGGCAAAGAGATAACTGGATCGATGAGCCTCATCTTTCCATCTCTTGCTCTCTGACGATCAGACCAGTGTGTGGCTGCCTTAGCTAGTTCTCTGCCTCAACTTGTGAGCTACACTACCTGTGGGACACCCAACCCGAGGACCATATTCCTATAGTTTGAGGCTCCTTCGAGACCTGCTTTGCCACACTGCTGGTGTATACATCACTTGGTGTATACATCACTTGAACTTGAGACTGTCGGAGCCTGTCATCTGGCTGACTGTTGGTGACCTGCCCTGCTGTTTGATGCCTGTTACCGGACTATCTATGTTGCTTACAGAAGA